TTAACATGAAAATTCTTGTCTTGAACATGATTTACTGATCTGATTTAGGAAATTTGCGTCTATTCCTCGAATTAAATCAAGGAATTTCTCCCTGAAGTCTGCCAATTGATTGACAAAATGACAGTGATAAAAATATCTGAGAAACATGATTCTTAAGATTTGTTTAGCACAAATGCTTACAAATCTCCTAACAAGTTGCTAACTTGACTTGAGTAAATCTAGAATTGAATCTAGAGTTTTTAAACTTAATCCTTTTCTAAGGTTCTAAATCTACTCGCCCACGATACGGGGATCTCCCTGCCTGGAGAATTTTTCGGCATGATAGTCGCGGTACTGGGCGACCACTGTATCCTGAGTAGGAGCCGGATGATCGAGTTCCCTACGTGGCGGCATCTGAACATTGATAAAGTTCAAAATTATTGAACACATGATGATATTCTGACTGATTACTGAGGCATACAAATCTCTTGACGAGTAGCCAAAAATGGCCGATAATTACTGACATGAAACCTGAGGAACTCTAGAGTTATATCAGAAGATACTAAAGTCTAGAGTCATATCTGAGTATACTGATTTCTAAAGTCAAGTCTGAATGTACTGAATTCTAGAGTTATATCGGAACTCTAAAGTCTGAACCTGAATCGAGCATCTTAACTAAGTCTGATTACTGATTTCTGAGCATAGACAAAGTAATATATTTATAACTGAAAACTGAATCAGCACTTACCTGGTGTCGGCGAGGTGTGAGCGTGACGGTTCAGGTTTTTCTGAAAAACTGACTGAAAAACTTTTCAGAGACGCAGAAACATGCTCTGATACCAATTATAACACCCCAACTTTTTAAACTATCAGAGTACGCTATTTTTCGCAATTTTCTGAATAAATAAATAAAATACTTATTTTGCGAAAACTGATTCGGGATGCTACCGTGAAAAACTTAATTTTTCTGAAAACCGTTAATATTTTAAACTGATAATTAAAAACGGTTATAAAGTCTTACCCGACGAATGTCGAAACAAAAACTGAAA